AGGAGGATCCTTTGAGGCCAGGAGTTCAAGGCTACAGTGAACCATGATTGTGCCACTGCACTCCAGCCTGGGAGACAGAGTGAGACTCTGTCTTGAGAAAGAAAAATTTTAAGGTTTGCATAGTACCCTGCAAAAGACTTATTTTATGATACATATCAACAAAATTCAACCCCACTTTCTCCAATAATAAAAAAATGTTTTTTAAAACTGTTACTTTTTAAACAACGTGAAACTAATGAAAATTGGTTGCTGCTTTGAGAATCATCTTGTTTGGAGAAAAACATCCTGTGCTTCACCAGTTGCTGCCATGCCTTACAGAGGTAGGGTCTGTAGTCTATGTCCACGTCACACAGGCGTCGAGAGGCATGAGAAGGTTCTTCCGACGAGTTCGAGGCTTTCTGCATTATCGTTTGTGTCGTTGCAAAAAGAACCAGGCGATAGTCATTTACAAGCTTCTTTAAGCACTGAGAACATTTCCTCAGAGTAGACTCCTGTAAGTTAACACTCTCTCCTCCATTGACACGGTCTATCCAGTAAAAAGCTGACAGGCTATCCAAAATCAAAAGGCAGAGAGACGGGTGACTACAAAACATACTTTCTAGCGAGTAAAGCGTAAGAAGTAGGTGGGTGCTACTACTGCAGTACACCAAAAAAAATCTTCCCAGGCAGTATTTGATTATTTCTTCAGAGCTTTGGGATAGTCTGTGCTCAAGAACTGTAACCAGCCGGAGCATATCGAAGTGGTAATCTGTGTCAATAAATAAGACTTCTACTTCCAGGCCACCTTCTGATTTGGGAAGTATACATCGTGCTGTTAGGTGATAAAGCATTTCTGTTTTTCCTGTTCCTTCTGAGCCATGAAATTCAAGAATATCACCTGTGTAAAATTTAAAAATCTCAGTCAAAATGCAGTAGCTCAAGGGTAGGCTACAAAATGCAAAGTCTGCAAAAAAGTTTAACAAGACATTTACTGGAATGTGAAAGAAAATCTAAATACACTTTTGCCAAAATGGAGCTGTACAAGCAAACACAAGAAACAAGGAAATCAGAGCCCGGTGAGAAGATTGGGAGAGGCTAGGGGACTCTCCTCGGGCCAGGCTCACATGCACTTCCACTTCAATTTGCGAGATTTGAAAATTAAGAGCCACAGATCTAGGGTCTTTCAAAAATCTGATTACTACAGTACACACCATTTCTGGTAGTTGATTACACCATATCCATTCTTCCCCTCTTCCTAAAGTATAAAATCCTAATTTGATGAGGAGGGAAATGTGTCCACTTTAAAACTATTTTTCATGGTCTCCTTTGAAAAGAAAGGTTACCAGGTAACACAGCTGTCACCAGTGAGATGCAGGCTGCTCTCTGTTGATGATTCTTTCCTATCCAGGGACACCTTCTGCCCTGCCGCGCCCTCCTGTGGGGGTGGAGCAGCCGTCTGGAAGCAGTGAGGATGAAAGCCCCTGCTCAGGATGGTGGCGTGGAAGACAGAAGGTGCCCAGGACTCTGGGCATATGGAGCCCCCACCAGCCACGCACAGCCTGCCTCTGTGCCACTCAGGATGTGAGGAAAACAAGCCTCCACCTGGGCAAGCCACTAAGTTGGACTTCTATGACCTGCAGGTGAAAGCACTCCCTAATTAGGGTTTCTCAATGTTACTGATGTTATGGGGTGAACAATTCTGGATTTTGTGGTTTCACACATTACTGAGGCAAGAGCCCATGGCTCGCAGGCCCTAAATGCCAACAGCACCCTTCAACTGAAAACAACCTCACACGTTCCCAAACTGCCTTCAGTTATTCTCTGCTATTTGAATTATCTCTTGAAACCATGTCCAGCTGCATTAGAAATTATTTTCCTAGCATTAAAAATCAAAGTCAACTACTCTGAACGTTAAAGACTCCAACTCTCCTTCTATATAGGCTCAAATAACTCATTGAGGACAGCACAAGTTAAATCAAATGACACTGGGGAAGTTGCCTTGCTTCCAGAGCTTTTCAAAATGCACTCAACAGTGGCATTCAACTCTTGCTTGTCATTATTAATGTATGGCTGAACTACCTGATTGGAAACACTATGTTAAAATGCCAACTATTATCCCCAACCAAATGATGGTCTATATAAGAATTCAAGGGCTGGGCACAGTGGCTCACACCTGTAATCCCAGCACTTTGGGAGGCAGAGGCGGGCGGATCACCTGAGGTCAGGAGTTCAAAGAAATAGCTGGGCGTGGTGCATGTGCCAACATGGTGAAACCCTACTAAAAATACAATAAATTAGCTGGGCGTGGTGGTGGGCGCCTGTAATCCCAGCTACTTGGGAGGCTGAGGCAGGAGAAACACTTGAACCCAGGAGACAGAGGTTGCAGTGAGCTGAGATCACGCGATTGCACTCCAGCCTGGGTGACAAGAGCGAAACTCCGTCTCAAAAAACAAACAAAAAAAGAATTCAATTACTTTGTTTCTTATGATTAATTTTAATTTTTTTTGAGATGGAATCTTGTTCTGTTGCCTAGGCTGGATTGCAGTGGTGCAATCTTGGCTTACTGCAACGCTTCCCAGGTTCAAGCAATTCTCCCTGCCTCAGCCTCCCGAGTAGCTGGGATTACAGGTGTGCGCTACCACCCCCAGCTAATTTTTGTATTTTGGTAGAGATGGGGTTTTGCCATGTTGGCCAGGCTGGTCTCAAACTTCTGACCTCAGGTGATCCACCCACCTCAGCCTCCCAAAGTGCTGGGATTACAGGTGTGAACCACCGTACCCGGCCTTTCTTATTCTTATTAACAAACCGTTGTAAGTTGGAGTATTCACAAATAATGTTTAAGAAATCTAGGTTGGGTACAGTAGCTCATGCCTGTAATTCCCTGCACTTTGGGAGGTCAAGGCAGGAGGATCACTTGAGCCCAAGAGTTAGATATCAGCCTGGTCAATATAGTGAGACCCCGACACTACAATTAAAAAAAAACCAAAAACAACAGCCACCCATGGTTGTGTGCATCACTAGTCCCAGCTAATTGGGAGGCTAAGGTTGGAGAATCAGCTGAGCCCAGGAGGTAGAGGCTGCAGTGAGCCAAGACTGCACCAAATTTCTACCATAATCTTACATACAACTTGCAATTCTAAATTTACCTTAAGAAGAACTTTAAAAACTGATTCCACCTCAGCCTCTCAAGTAGCTGGGACTACAGGCATGTGTCATCATGCCTGGCTAATTTTTGTATTTCTTGTAGAGACTGGATTCCATCATGTTGCCCAGGCTGGTCTTGAACTCCTGGGCTCAAGTGGTCTGCCTGTGTCAGCCTCCCAAAGTGCTGGGATTACAGGCATGAGCCCCCACACCTGGCTTCGGCTTTCTTGTAGCGCAGTATGTTATCAGTTCTCATAGACTTCTCTTTTGTTTTTAAGAATTCTACACATGGCCGGGCACATTGGCTCAGGTCTGTAATCCAGCACCTTGGAAGCTGAAGTGGGAGGATCACTTGAGCCCAGGAGTTCATGACAAGCCTGGGCAACATAGGGAGACCCTGCCTCTACAAAAAATTTAAAAAAAGAAATAGCTGGGTGTGGTGGCATGTGCCTATAGTCCCAGTCTCAGCTACTCAGGGTGAAGTGGGAGCCTGTGAGGTTGAGGCTACAGTGAGCCGTGATCATGTCACTGCACTCTAGCCCAGGCAACAGAGGGAGACCCTTTCTCTAAAAAGAAAGAAAGAAAAAAAGAGATTCCAGGCTCAAGGAGTAAAATTATTTTCATATTAACAACTGTCCATCTAATTAAAAGTTAACAGAGCAGCTAAACCTGTATTCCACCCTGATGTTCGGCGTGCCCTCTCTTACTATGTTACTGAGGAGCTACACTGAACCCACCACTCCTACCAGGCGTCTTTTACTGCCCTATGTGATAGAGAACAGGGACCATGCAGAAGCGCAGACGGGAAACCAAGAAGCAGACCAGAGCAAATCCTCCCTCTCCTGCTCCCAGAGAGGCAGCCAGGGAGGCTGACCCACAGCTACTCACCTTTCTAGAGTACTGCATGCCTTAAAGAGGCTGCTTCAGACATGTCCTGTCTGCTCCTAATAACACTGAGGTAGGGAAAATAACAAACTCTATCGTCTCCCATCATCACACGGATCACACTATATAAGCACTGACTATTTACTTGATTACATTTCCTGTTAGCTTCTCTAAGGTTGGGACTTGAGTATTCTGTTCCCAGCACAAAACCCAGGATCTTCTGAATGTGCTTCATCAGTTACCTTCTTCTTAAGATCCTCATGAGAGACATCTAAAGAATAAAAATACGAGTTTTGGTTTGTGAGGGTTAAGGGCCTAAAAGCCAATTGTGAAACTGGCATTTTAAATGGAAGCAGGTCTGATAGGGAGCGACAGGTGGGGTGTGTGGCTTTGGTGGCAGAGCTCAGCAGGTAAGAAGGTCCTAGACCAGGGTTGACACAGGGACCAACATAGGAGGCAAAGCAAGAGAAGCAAACTGCCCGGTGTGGGGCCTGCTGCCAGAGACCACAGGGTCTCACACTTAGCGTGGTGAGGGCCTCAGTCCTGCAGGTGATAGGGTTTGGCTGTGTCCCCACCCAAATCTCGTTTGAATTCCCACGTATTGTGGGAGGGACCCAGTGGGGGGTAATTGAATCATGGGGGGAGGTCTTTCCTGTGCTGTTCTCGTGATAGTAAGTCTCATGGGATCTGATGGTTATTATAAGGGAGAATTTTCCTGTACAAGCTCTCTTTGCTTGCTGCCATCCATGTAAGATGGGACTTGTTCTTCCTTGCCTTCTGCCATGATTGTGAGGCTTCCCCAGTCACATGGAACTGTAAGTCCAATTAAACCTCTTTCTTTTGTAAATTGCCCAGTCTTGGGTATGTCTTTATCATACCCCTTGGGTATGTCTTTATCAGCAGCATGAAAATGGTTACCTTTTACAGCAGGTAAACCTAATGTGGTGATTTAAAAGTTCTTCTGAAAGATAGGCTTGGAAGTACCTGCACACATCAAATATAGACACAAAGTAGACTTTTTTTGAGACAGGGTCTTATTCTGTCGCCCAGGCAAGAGTGTAGCGGCGTGACCTCAGCTCACTGCAACCTCTGCCTCCTGGGCTTAAGCCATCCTCCCACCTCAGCCTCCTGAGTAGCTGGGACCACAGGTGTGTGCCACGACGCCTGTCTAATTTTTGTATTTTTTTGTAGAGACAGTCTTGCTGAGTTGCCCAGGCTGATCTCAAACTCCTGAGTTCAAGCGATCCACCCACCTCAGCCTCCCAAAGTGCTAGAATTACAGGCATGCACCACCCCACCCAGCCCAAAGTAGAAATTTTTAATTCACATAATTCACATTGAGTATTCCAGCAAAAATTTAGCTTTCAAAATGGTATGGGTTTTTTTTAATGTATCTCTAGGTGTCACAAAATGAAAATGTCCTACAGCCACTAAGATATAAGATTCAAGATGGTAAGCCAGGCGCAGTAGCTCACGCCTATAATCCCAGTACTTTGGGAGGCTGAGGCATGAGGCAGGTGGATCACCTGAGGTCAGGAGTTCAAGACCAGCCTGGCCAACATGATGAAACCCTACTTCTACTAAAAATGTAAAAATCAGCTGGGCGTGGTGGCGGGCGCCTGTAATCCCAGCTACTTGGGAGGCTGAGACAAGAGAATTGCTTGAACCTGGGAGGCAGAGGTTGCAGTGAGCTGAGATTGCGCCATTGCACTCCAGCCTGGGCAACAAGAGTGAAACTCCATCTCAAAAAAAAAAAAAAAGATTCAAGATGGTAATAAGGGGCTGGTTATAGCAGTCTAAGAGTAATCCACATAGAAATAATAGAGAAAAACCAAAAATCTCTTTGATGGGTGGGTAATATGGACCTAA